GACATTGCAGGCTCCTCAAAGGAAACTGACCTGCCTGGACCTCATTCTCTCCGGTGGAGGTTCCCAAACATGCTGGGATAGAGAAAAGAATCCAAGAAGCTGATTAACCCCAGGCAGAAAGATTTGAAGTGATGACAGGTGGGGAGACGTGAAAGTCACACTGGGTCCCAAAGAAAATAAAAGGAGAGAAGATACAAACTGGTACCTAACGTAACAAGCTAGGGGAACTTCAAAGCAAAAAGGTTTCTCTCCCTATAAGGAGCCCACTGGCTTGATCTTTCTGCCAGGACCCTGGCCCCAGTTCAGTGATGCTTCATTTGTCTTTCAAATGGGGCTGCTGCCGTGAGTAGAGATGAGGGGCGAACATGATTTGGGGTCCTATGTTTCCATTCGTATACCCCTCTCCCTTCCTTGAGGATTGTCTCTAGCTGGGGCACAGGCGACAGCCAGTCTGTGGGCTGGGAAACCCCAGCCGTATCTTTGCCAATGTGTAAAGTTCTTGCTCGCATCCTTCTTCCCGCCAAAGATTGGCCTCTTACCCAGGTGATAGTCTGCTTTATTGTGCTGTCACCTGGCTGGGCCGTTAGTGTGTCCCTTGTCTCTGAAGAACTGGTTTGTGCCTGCATGTCACGGTGATGTTATACAGTGGAGTCTCATAACTTGCCATACAACATCCATAGAACATACACATATTTTACCGGGACAATAATGTTCAGAAGATTATGAGTTGTCAAATGATACCTCGCAAGGCACGTTTTGTACACAATTTATCCTAGTCTGTAAAAGCGGTGAATATGGAGTACAGTTGGTGACAGCCAGCACTGGTGCTGTTTGGGAGAAAGGTGAATGGGAGCGGGGTGCAGGGTTAGTATAGGGAGTCTAGCAGCCAGGACTCCTGGTTTCTCTCTCTAGCTCTCACCGGAGAATATGCGGGAGTTATTCCTTTACTAGATTAAAAACTGCTGATCTGCTCTGTTCCCCAGCTGCCCACATCTCAACGCCGGGTGAGCCTCCCCATACAGTGTTCTGTGTGGCTGTTCACCAGCTGCCCTGCCCCAGAAGTGGCTGCACTCCTTCCTAAGTTAAAGTGATGGGAATGGTTCCCTTGCAGATCGAGAAGCTGGATGCCCGGGGCGTGCAACTGGCAGCCCTTTTCATGAGTGGAGTAGATATGGCTCTGTTTGCCAATGACGCCTGTGGGCAGCCGGTGCCCTGGGAACACTGCTGCCCCTGGATCTACTTCGATGGCAAACTCTTCCAGAGCAAGCTCATCAAAGCCACCCGTGACAGGGCTCCCCTCATTGATCTGTGTGACGGACAGGTACGGGGCAGGACACCTGGGTTCTCTCCCTGCCTCTGGGATGGGGGGTGGGGTCTAGTGGGTTAGAGCGGAGGGCCTGGGACACAGAACTCCTGGATTCTATCCCCGGTTCAGGGAGAGGAGGGGAGGGAGGGTCTAGTGGGTTAGAGTGGTGGGGCTGGGAGCCAGGACTCCTGGGTTCTGTCCCTGTCTCTGCGGGGGAGAGTGGGGGAGGGGGTTTGAGAGGTTGCGCCTCTTGGTCTGGAAGTACCTGGATGTTCTGACATTGGGGCAGGCTGTGGGGGAGGGGCAGGAATGTGGGGGATGAAGTCAGCTGGATTCATCTCCCCCTGTCCCCAACTTTCCTCCCCAGACGGAGCAGGCGGCCAAAGTGGAGAGGATGAGACAGAGCATCCTGGAGGGCGTGAACTTCAACCGCCAGGCCCCGCCCCCTCTGCTCCCACCCCCTCCCTTTGTGCCTGCCATGGCTGCGCCCTTCTATTCGATGCCCCTCTACCCCCGCACCACGGGCTCTGCGCCGCTGCCACCTCCAGGGAGGAGCAGAGGGTTCACAGGTGAGAGATTGTGTATCCCCTGAGCCGTCTCCCTGCCCCTTTGCTCTGTGGCCTCACTCACCGCAGGGCATTGGTGGCAACGGTGGGATCCCCAGATGGCTGGATTGTGTGCCCTCTTGAAGGCAGGGGTAGGGGAGGCCTCTTTTCTCCCCCCTCCAGTTGTACATATGTGGAGTGCGGGGAGCTGGTGGGGTGCTCCAGAGCAGTGGGGCTGGGGGGCATCATCCTATTGAGATGCATCGGGACAGATTCCCTCTGTCAGGGCTATCGGCTCAGGCTCTCTGAAGACTCAGGCAGGGATCGGTTATGCCAAGGGCAGTTCACACCTCTCCCAGTGACCGGCTCAGGCTCATGCGGACCCTGTTTCTGACCTGAAAGATGTTGTTCTGCTACTGTTCCATATCTGCTGGGGCCTGGACATGACCCTAGTGTCACCTGTCACTCATCTCTCCCTCCCCCCCCCCCCGTCTCCGCTTCCCTAGGTCTCCACCCCATCCCGCCTCAGGGGGGCAAGCTGGAGATCGCTGGCATGGTCGTTGGCCAGTGGGCGGGCAGTAAGCCCTCGCGGGGGCGGGGCTCCTTTGGGATGCAGGTGGTGTCTGTCGGGGGGCCAGGCAAGGGGTAAGTATCACAGCACTGCTGAGGGGTGGGCTGGTGTTATGAATTACACCTGGGAGGACACGCACACAACTGCTGCGAATTACACCTGGGAGGACACGCACAGTTCGAATCTAGGCTGAGGCACATAAACAAAGTCCACAACTGCAGAGTTCCCAAAAGACATTAAGTTTATTACCCTCGAGCGTGGTGCCCTCCTGCTAGCCAGGAGGGAACCCTGAATACAGATTATACAAAGGTTATATACTTTTTAGCAAAGCATGTTGCCCTCGTGCATCGGAAACCTTAGCCAATAAACAAACCCTTGTCTTATCTACCACCTATCCCTGCTTGGTGCATTCCTCGTGCTATACCAGTATGTTAATTACACAGCATGGTCCTAAAGCCATGCATCAGTAAATAGGATGGGAGGCCTCACATCAAGGCCAAGAGACAGGGAGTTAGAGACTGACAAAAACCAGATACTGGGAGTCAAGGCAGGCTGGAGACAAGGGGGATTTTCACAGGGATTCAGTATCTAAGGATCACTCCTCCTGGTGTATGATGTGCTGGCATTTAAACAGTGGTGGGCCCCAAACCAAAAGGGAGTCACATGTGCTAACTTTTCCTTAACAGTCCTCCCTTTCTTTTTGTACGTCAGTAAGCTATATTGGGGCTGAGTAACCACGCTGCAGGGTTAGCAACTGCCGACCGAACACACTGCAGCATTGTAGGCATACAAAAAATAACCCAAAAACAATAACAGTCAAAAAAAGTAAAAACAAAATACGCCGTCCCCACATCCGGTAGCCGTGAGGTGAGCCAGTCCCAGACCTCCTGGAATCCGGCGCTGGTAGTGTCGAGGCTGATGTGGTGGAATAGGGCTGCCTGTTGCTTGAGGATGTGGATGTCAGTTTCCACCCTATGGTGCTGATTTACAAATACACAACAGCTTGAGTTGACCAGAGCACAAACCCTGCCCTGATTTGCAAGGAGATAATCCAGGGTTAGGCGGTTTTGCAATGTAGTTTGGGATAGCTGGGTGACTTCAATTTGAAGGGCAGATAGAGCATCTGCAGTAGCATTTGCCATTAGTTTCAAAGCAGCTGAAATGTTAACTATAGCTTTTTCCAGCTCACTTACTCCCAACCATGGCAGAAACCAACACACAAAGGAGTGAAAGCCTTTGGGCTGTTGAGAAAGGGGGTTTAAAGGAATACTTCGTCGGTCCCGCCATACTAGATTGCGGATCTCTGTCCGGGTCAGGTTCTGGTGAACTGTCACGGCGGGTACTATAGCCCCTAAGGTACATGGACCACACCATCCTGCTGGGAGAACCTTATAGGCTGTGTGATTACATAACCAATACTAGCCAGACCCCTCGGGGACCAGCCACGGGGTTCTGGAGTAGGTAGAGGGGCCTCCCGCACCAGAGCTGATTTGGGTGGTGTCCTTGCACCCCACAAAATTCCCTACAAAAACTGTATTTTCTATAAAAAGAAAAGGAGTACTTGTGGCACCTTAGAGACTAACCAATTTATTTGAGCATGACACACATAAAGCATAATTACCCTGGGCCACCATATCAATAGACCATATTTGGATTGTAACATTCCAGTTAAATGTAGTGTTTGCCCATAGCTTAGCTTGGAGTGTTCAATTAAGGGGGATAGGTACCCCTACCAACAGGACCCCCTGACCTAATGTATGTGGGGGTATGAATACAAATCCAACACTGCGTTCGATTTACACCCTGTTTGATAGCGCGGGTTAAATTCAAGAAGCTATTGCCCTCCCATCCTTGTACTGGACTTGGGAATAGGAAGAGGAACCCCCCCAGGCAAACCATACCAATGTCGGCATCCTCCTTTATACCATACAAAAAACACTACCCCCAATGTAAGTCCAATAAACAGGAACACAAAAAGTCCTGGTGGGCTGTGAAGGTCCCAGTAGCTGGAAAGCTTAGTCCATGGGTTGGTCGTGGTGTTCATTCGTGAAGTGGCTCGTCCAATGGCTTGTCAGGGTCAGGTGGGGGTCCCAGCGCCAACTTAACGTAGCTATGATGGAGCCAGGAACCTTTACCTGCAAAGGAGTGGTGGCAGATGGTGGGAGTAATGTTCGTGGCAGTAAGGCGTTTTTGGTATTTATACTTGCCTACCAGCACAGGTTCCAGCCTCTGGAATAAACCCACCCCACCACTTTACTTCACATTCCCAAGAATGCATCCCGCAACTTCCTCCCTGCCAATGTACAATGCTCCGTCTTTGCCATCAAGGCCAATTCTCAGTGTCTTTTGCAGTCAGGAATCCTTGGATTTTGGTGGTTTTAGCAGAGCAGGCGTTTCTTCTTTTTTCTTGGAACAGTCATGCTTTTGCATTATACAGGGGAGAGGTTACTAGCACGTCACCCTGCCGTGCTTTGGTTTCTTTAGCAAATACTGAATGCAGGTTAGCTCTGTCAGTGGACAAGGGGGAGGTGACTAGCACTTCACCTTGTTTTTTTTCCTGCTGTCCAAAAGGAGGAAAGAAAAAAAACCCAGGAGGGACAGGCTGATCAGTAGTCGAAGTGAAGTCATCTCGAGGTGGAGGGGTCTTTTTGCAGTAAGAAGCATGGGTCCAAGCAGTCAGTCCTCGGCACTTCACAGTGGTGTTGGTAGTTAGCAGGACTTAATAAGGGCCTTTCCAGCATGGGGCCAGAGTAGTCTTTTGTTGATGGACCTTTATGTAGACCCAGTTACCTGGTTTTAACAAATGGCAGGTTTGCTCAGGATCCTTGGAGCAGGACTTCTTTCACCTGTAAATACAGAGACCTAACACATTTCATTAATGTCTGGCAGTGTGGTGCAGATCTCACAGCTGCTTGGGCACATTCAAGCCCCCCTCTTTCTTGGCTGTTAGCCAAATCCTAGCTGTGAGTAGTGTTCTTGGGCAGGCCAGTGTCTTATCTTTGGACCGAGCCTGCCAGCTACAGCGTTGAATTAGCTTGTCCTCCGTTTTATTTTTTTTCCCCCTTCTTGGCTTTTATTAACCTGCAAAGGAAACTTTCACTTTTTACTTATACACCTTTGTTTAAAAAGGAACACATGTACATTGCCCATTATACAGCACTTTAGTCTTATTGTTTAATGTATGCCACATACACCCTTTTAGGAAAATGACTTTATTACAGAGCTTTGGAGCAACAAGCCAGGACAAGCACACCCACTTTTGAGGAAGCCGCTTGGTACAACCTCTGGTGTCCAATAGCTTTCCTCCCTCCCCAGCCCGCTTGGGCCGATCCTGTTTTTTTTTCTCTGAACTGTCCCTTCCATGAGCACCAGCTTTGTTTCACTACCATATTAACAAGGAGGGTAGGCTTCTTAACTAGCCCCCAGCACTCCTGGTCTCTTTTCTTAAATATTTTCACTTACAAGGGCTACCCGAGTCCTACCCCCATGAGGCTTGTCACCTGAACAGAAAGCACGGCTAATTGGCAAGCAAGGAGGTGACGGGCATAAGTCAGAAAGCCAAGGGTAAGCCGGAGGAGGGGCAGAAGTAGGCATAGCACAGAGCGGGGTTGGAGACCCCTGAGATGAATAAGAAAAGGAGGAGGAAAGAGGACGTCCTTTCGCATGTGCATAAGCCCAGTTGTCCCATACATACCAAAAATCCATCTGGGCTGGAGCTTTGTTTTCCAGCCTTTTCCTAAGTGCTGTTAATTTTTCCCCAGCAAAGGAACCATCTGGTGGCCAGTCAAAAGGTGTTTGAGTTGTTAGTGCTGGCCACTCAATCTTGCACAAGATTACAGCTTTTTTTTTACCTAACCCTTTGGTGCCAGAAATATTCCCCCAATTCTCGAGAATTTCAGCCAAAGGGGTCCCCTTACTTACACTCTGCCCAGAACCCATAATGGGCTACCAAAAGGACACCAAATGTGCCACCTTATCGCCTAAGCGACGGCTCACACACCCCCTCCTCGGAGTTCTCAAAGGTGAACTCACCCTGTGCCGCCTGGACCTGTCCGAGAGGAGGAATGTAGTCTTGCTTGTTGGGGCGAGCCTAGAGTCCCTTCGTGGTCGCCAAAACTGTTACGAATTACACCTGGGAGGACACGCACACCAATGCTGCGAATTACACCTGGTAGGACACGCACAGTTCGAATCTAGGCTGAGGCACATAAACAAAGTCCACAACTGCAGAGTTCTCAAAAGACACTAAGTTTATTATGCTCGAGCGTGGTGCCCCCCTGCTAGCCAGGAGGGGACCCTGAATACAGATTATACAAAGGTTATATACTTTTTAGCAAAGCATGTTGCCCTCGTGCATCGGAAACCTTAGCCAATAAACAAACCCTTGTCTTATCTACCACCTATCCCTGCTTGGTGCATTCCTCGTGCTATACCAGTATGTTAATTACACAGCATGGTCCTAAAGCCATGCATCAGTAAATCAGGATGGGAGGCCTCACATCAAGGCCAAGAGACAGGGAGTTAGAGACTGACAAAAACCAGATACTGGGAGTCAAGGCGGGCTGGAGACAAGGAGGAGGATTTTCACAGGGATTCAGTATCTAAGGATCACTCCTCCTGGTGGATGATGTGCTGGCATTTAAACAATGGTGGGCCCCAAACCAAAATGGAGTCACATGTGCTAACTTTTCCTTAACACTGGAGAGAGGTTTCGCTGGCTGGGCCAGCATCTTCTCCTTGGGTCATCTTGGCACTGGGCGAGTCATTTGTGTGTGGCGTTCTGTGCAGCTGTTCGCCAGCCACCCCGCCCCAGAGACGGCTGCATCTCCACGTTGGGCGAACCATCCCTGTTCTCATGAATTATGCTTAGTATTATTTGTAATTATTAGAACTATTAATGACCATTGTTGTTCATCCTCGTTAACGTCACCATGGTTATTAGGCTTGTTACTTAATTACTCTTATTACGGGGGTGTCAGTGTAACAACCCTGCTGCTAGCTCATCGGTATTATTGTTCTCCGCCCTGTTCCACCCCAGACGCAGTCGAGACGGGTCTGGAAAACTCCCCAAAGGAAACAAGAAACTGAGCAAGCAGGTACATGTTTCTGATTTTCCCTCAGCCCCACTGGTCTGGACCCTCCCCCCAACCAAGGAGAGACCCCAGCCCTTCTCTGTGCCCCCCATCCCCCCACAGCTGGGTTGCTGTCCCCATGCAGTGTTGTGTGCGGCCGTTCCCCAGCTGCCCTGCCCCAGAGCTGGCTGCATCTCAGCACCGGGCATACTGGGATGGGATTCCAGCGGGTGTCCGATTATGTTGCACTTCTCTTCTCCGCAGGGCTCATTGGAGGGAGCAGCCAAAGCAGCGGAGTTGCAGAGCGGGCAGTCCCCGTCGCAGGTGAACGGGGAGGAGGATTCGGGGGGGCGGTCCCTGCCCCCCAGCCCCATCACAATGTGCCTTAGCCAGAGACGCTGATCCCTGCAATGCCGAGGGCCAGTACTGCGGGCGGCTGGCCCAAGAGGTGGATCGCGGCCCCGACACCAAGCTGCCCCTCCCAGCTCTGCAGAAGGAAGAGTGATGGGGACCTGATTCGGGGATGGGTGGGGCTTTCCGGGGGGGCGGGAGCGGGGCCCAGAGTGTGAAAGCCTCAGGGTACCATGAGGACAGTGGGGTTGGAAAGGCAGCACCCCCGTGCATTGTGGGGGATCGTCCCCTAATTAGAGGGATGATCTCCTACAGCGCCCCAGTGCATTGTGGGAGGATGTGTACCTGTTTCGCTACCCCCGGCCCCCTCCTGGCACTGACCCCCCCCATCAGGTCTGCAACATGGCGTATTTTATTATTTTTTTATTTTAATATTTGTGGGGTGGGGAGCTGACGGTTTTTAGGGTTTTTAACATATTATACATAGCCCCTGCCCCGGCTCTTGCAGCAGGGGGCAGGGAGAAATGCTGTTAAATAAAGGGGGAGCCGTTAAAAGGAAGCCAGCCAGGATGAATCAAAGCGAGGGGGGAGGGGTGACATTTGGGGGCTCAACCCAGGCTGCTAAGGGGTCGTGGCTCCCCCTGCCCTGCAACACGGTGTGCCCTATATGCCCCGGCACCTGCAGGCAGCTGAGGAGCGCACCAGTCATGCCCCTCGCTGCTCTGGGGGGAGCCCCAAAATGTCACGGGGGGGTGGGGAGGCGGATTTCCCCAATATTTGGTGGGTGCAGACGCCCCCAGCCCGTGTTCGTTTTGGGCGGCGCAGAGGTTCATGCGTTACCCTGGGGGTGAGTTCGGGGCAGACGTGGTGACGGCGGAAATCTGCCCGGGCTTTGTACAGAAAGAAGAGAGATTATATTTACAGAGACAGATTCTATATAGAAACTACGTATCTCAGGGGGAAAGGGGGAATTCCCTTGTCCCCAGCCGCAGCTCCAGAGCTGTCCACGTCGGACCCAGGGAGGCAGGGGCAGTCGGGGTCCCTCCAAAACCAGACAGGTCCCCCTTTGCTTCCGTGGAGTCCCCCATCCTGGCTGCAGTTCCCAGCAGGGCTGATCAATGGAGGGTGGAGGAGGGGTTCAGGTTGGTGACCCATGGGGAGGGGTGGGCAGGGATATTGAGGCTGGGGGCTATTGGGGTTTCTGTCCCATGGGAGGGGAGTGCAGGGACTTGGAGGCTCACTGACCGGGGATGAATTGGTGCAGAGGGGGGACCCCTTTAAAGACCCATTAAAATCTGGACCATACAGGGTGGAAAATATGAAGGTTTTGTGGACTATCCTACCCCCTGCCCCGACTCTAACTTCAGGCAGGGGGGCTGGTGGTGAATTCCTATCCTGGCCCCCCAGACGTGTATAAAAACTGGGCAATGCGACTCCACACTTGACCAATCCACGCCCCTGTCGGCATGGGAAGGCTTGAATTCCCCTGTGCTGCGCGTGGCTCGGTGTGGTCCTGCATCCTTCATTTTCTGAGCACGTCACTTCCCTGGTAGCCCTGGCTGCCGGGCAGAGACAGCCAGGCCGTGGGTATTTGGGGAACAGGGAGGGGTTGGGAAAGAGCCCAGATCTCGATAAAACTTATTTTCCCCTCCCCTCGGGGTTGGGGGGATGGGAGGAAATCTGAACACCCCGTTGTTTGATCGGGGCACTGAACCCTTTTAACCTGACTGATACGCCAGCAAAGACTCCGGAAAACTATCTCCGGACTCTGATTACTTGAGCTTTCGAACTGAGGCCAATTCAGAATCCCAACGCTCAGAAGACGCCTGCCCACCTGAGGCAGCTCATCGGCAGAGCGATCTTCGACGCGCGCCACCACTTGGAGCCATCACCCTGTAGTTTTTTTAATAACTTTAACCGTGTTTCAAAGTCAGACCTCAGATCAGGCCTCTCTGAATGTCTGGAGACAATCGGCCGTGTCTGCGAATCACGAAGGAGTTAATCTGAAGCGTTTGGGGTTGGGAATCTTCAGGGCAGACGCCTGGAGTTGCAATCACTTTTATTGCTGGAATAACCCCCCTTTTATGGGGGAGGGGAGAGATATGATTTGAAGGACACTCGGCATTTTACAGAACTTATCCCAATTCAGTGCAGCCATTTTTTCTCCTTTGAAATCCGGAAAACGAAACCCTAAATCACAGCCTCCCAAACGGCCTCTGCTAAACTCCCAAGGGGAAATTCTGAATCGCATCTGCCAGTCATTGGTGCTTTGGAAGATTTGTAGTGTTTGCCGTCCCAGAGATTTTAAACACGGAGACGCTTTGGGGTGCGGAGTAGAGCTGTGGAAATGATTTGAGAGGCGTAAGCAGCCCGCCGTGTTCGGAAGGTCTAGAGGGGACTGGATTCTGCTGGAGAATCTTTGGCAGTCACTGTGCTACAGGGCTCTTCTTTAGTCTGGTGGGGAGAGGCTGACTGAAAAGCAAGAGGCAGGAGGCTGAAGGCAGACCAATACAAATTGAAAATAAGGGACCAATTCTTACCCGTTTAGGTGATGAACAGCTGGGACGAACTCCCAATGGAAGTGGCGCGTTCTCCAGCTCTTGGGGTCTTGCCGTCCAGGCGAGATTAAGTGACATAAACTAAGCTGAAAACACAGAGATAAGCATCCTGCCTGGCAGGGATGAAGCAGTCTTGACTAGATCGGCGGAGAGTCACCTTTTAGATTTACACTGGAAATAAAATTAGGGCAAATCTGAACCTCGGATGGGGATTTGAACTGATCCGAGTTGGGGCTGCTGGCTTGGTTGGCTTTGCAAAAGCCCCTTTCTTGGCACCATTCGGTGGAATCACCGATTCCCCGCACTGGAAATCGCTTGTTCCCTTTGGAAAACCATGGTCAGTTTCTTCGCCTTTTCTGGATCTGCTTTGGGGGCTCAGTTCCCACCCACGCTGCCTTTCCTGATGTTGTGAAGTGCCCTGCAAAGCTGACCGGAGGTAAGAAGTTCCCCTTCTTTCACCGTTGGCGTTCAAGAGGCCTCGACTGCCCCACCTAGCAAGGCACTGTTCAGCTTAGCTTGTCGAAGAACAGCTGAGGAGATGATTTGGGAATCCTGTTGTTGGAGGTTTTTAGGGACAGGTCAGACAAACCCCTGTCAGGGATGGTCTAGGTTTATTTGGTCCTGCCTCTGTGCCGAGAGCTGGACTGGACTACCTCTTGAGGTCCCTTCCGGCCCATGGAGTCGTCCTTGCTCCTGGCCTGGAACACCCTGTGTTTCCATGTCCAAGGCCGGAACTCGAGTCTTGTGCAGTGCAGGGCGTTCGGTTTCGCTGAGCCCGAAGATGGCGGTTGGCCTAAAGGAGACTGAGCAGGTGTGAGGGGCTGCAGGGAATCCATTTAGGTGAGACGTGCCCAGATGATGCCAGCAGGCCCAGGCTGCAGTGGAAGATGAAACTTCCCCATTGCCTATCTGTCGATGCTCTGCGCAGCAGCTCCAAGCACCTTATCCAGGGTCCCGTCTCCAGCCGGGACTGGTCCCAGCTGCTTCAGAGAAGGTGGAAAAGCCCCAGACAAACCCATCAAAGCCCAGAGTCATGTGTGCGGGAAATTCCTGTTGGCTGAAGTGTGCGCTTGGCTTGCTGTGGGCGTCGTGTCTGGCAGCCCAGGGCAGTGGAAACCAGTGGCCAAAGGCAGGAGGAGAGGTATTTCCTCCCAGTTTCAGCCCCCCAGTGAGCGGTGGAATCGAGAGGACGCACCTCTCTCTCTCTCAGCTGTCAGGCTGGCTGCAGGAGTGACTGGTGAAAGTTGCTGGCCTCGTGTGTCGGAGCTCGGCTCGGCCGGTCGTTCATAAGAGCCTGGGGTATGTTGGAGGCTTTGGGATTGTGCTGCTAAATTTCTCCATGGGTTTTTTTCTGTATCTAGGTGAAACATTTTATGACTAGCATGGAGCCCGTTTCCTCTGCTGGTGTCAATTGGGGATTCCCACAGCTGGGGGCCTGGCCCCATTGACCCAGCGGAGCTACGGCCCATTGATCCCAACTGGGGGTCTGGCCCCATTGACTCCATGGAGCGATGGATGATGGAGCCCAGTTGGGGGTCTGGCCTCACTTACTGCAGTGGAGTTACACCCGTGTACCCCAGGTGGGGGTCTGGCCCATTACAGCTCTTTGTGTATTTAATCTGGGCAGCTTTTTCCCTTGTGAGCCGGAGAGGAGTGCGTGGGTTGGACCCTTGGCTTGGCCCCAGTCAGCAGCATCTGAATTAACCCTTCTGCTCCCGGATTACGGCTTTCAACTCTGATCCAGCGAAGCCCCATGGACGAAGCTCACACCGAAGTGGAGTTTTTGGTTTCTTTTTCTTGCTGACTTGAAGCTTTAAAAGAGAACAAAAACCACAAAGAAGTTTGAACCAACCCACCTGCAGTTCTCTTGACTTTTAAGCCAGCCAGCTTGCCATGGGCCAGGGTGTGGCTACTGATTTCCTACCTTTGGCCACTAAATCAACCGGCTGATGGTGTAAACTGGCCACTCCGACATTATTCTCCCACTCCTTGTCTGTGTGACTTGTGTTAACTCTCCCGTGGATGTCTCAGTTTTCTCTCTGTGTCCCCTGTTGTGTGTCAGAAACTGGCCCCCGACCACTTTCTCTCGAATTTTCATTCGACCCCCACCCAGGAGAGAGAATTTTCTCACAAATGAGACAAAACCCGTCCTCGGGAATTGTTTGTGGCCGGCTGGGGGAAATTGCTCAGACCATGGGCTGGAATTGAGCCAGGCCAGCCTGGAGGCGAATATAAAGTCTGACGGCAGAGCTCCGGCCCCAGCGTCCGAGACTCTGTGCTCAGATTAGCTGGCCTTTCAGCTCTCGCCGCTGCCCCAGCCGCACGAGAGAAGCAACTGGGCAACAAGCGACCCTGGTTTTTCGGTTTTAATCTAGTTAGCGGAATTCAGTAGAGCCAGGTCTGGGCACTAGCTGTTTCCTGATCTGTATTTCTGCTAACTAGGCCTGGTCCCCTTTCTGTTCCCCCGGCCTGCCTGTCTCATGGCATCTTTCTCCTGTTGATTTCTTTTGCTGTTGATTTAATTTAACTTTTTAAAATCAAACCCCATTGCCCTGCCTGCAGGGTAGAAAATCCTTTGGGTTTATACTGCTATTTACGGTTAAGGGTTTTTTTAAATAATTTGTGTTGATGTTAAGAACGTTCCCTCCTCCCCTTTTGAAATAAAATTATTTCAATCTATCCATCTCCATACAATCTATCTATCTAATACACTTTCTATCTGTCTGTCTCCTCACCTGGGGCATACACCTTTTTGACGATAGCCATAGCCCTTGTATGTTGCTACAAGCTTTTCTGGATAGAAACTAATGACTAGTGAGACTTTTTTTAAATCAAACCTCAGAGGTCTCAATTGTATTTTTTTGGTTCTTAAATTGTAAACCAGCGGACTTTCCTTTCCACACTTTGCGCCCCCCCCCCCATCCTTCAAATAACTCTGAAGCTTCCGGTTTTTGTAACTGTATCTATCCATATATTTTTCTCTCCCCAACTTTTAAAATGCTTTTAGCATAAGAACCTAGGTTTGGGGTTTGTTTGGTTTTTTTTTTTTGTTTAAACCTAAAAGTATCTTTCACTGAAATGAGCCGTCGGGTTATTTTCTTCCTTGCGATTTTGTCAATTTACAGTTGTGTGTTATATTTACGAGGGGAAAAAAAGCCAAGTAAGAAATTTAATGGTTTTTGTTGTTAATCTTATCATTTAAATTCTCCCCCACCCCTGTTTTTTTTTAAAGCTACTGACACGTTTATTAGTGGATGGATAAATGTTACCTCTACTTCCCTTGCACCTCAGCCCTATGACTGTAAAAACCCTGTTGTCCTGCTAGCCCCAGATCCCACGACTTGCTCCCTAGTTTATCCATGTAAGTTGGGACGGGTCCCGCTTCGGCAGGAAAAGTGGCAGTGGTGGGGACGCGTGGGAAGGCTGCGTGGCGGAGGCGAAGCCGGCGGGGAGGATGTCTTTGGGAACGTGGTTCGCTTGGGTGGATCTGGGCGCGTGGTACGGTCAGCTGCGACCGTGGAGAGAGACTTACAGTACTTAATAAAAGTCTATTCTTTTAGTAAACCGCAGCTGAGCTGGATTGTTCTTCTGAGCGGCCGCTGAAGGCAGGGGGCTGGGAACCAGGACTCCTAGGTTCTCTCCCCTGCTCAGGGAGGGCAGTGGGGTCTAGTGGGTTAGAGCAGGGGAGGGGCTGGGAGCCAGGACTCCTGGGTTCTCTCCCCGGCTCTGGGAGGGCAGTGGGTCTAGTGGGTTAGAGCAGGGGAGGGGCTGGGAGCCAGGACTCCTAGGTTCTCTCCCCTGCTCAGGGAGGGCAGTGGGGTCTAGTGGGTTAGAGCAGGGGAGGGGCTGGGAGCCAGGACTCCTGGGTTCTCTCCCCGGCTCTGGGAGGGCAGTGGGTCTAGTGGGTTAGAGCAGGGGAGGGGCTGGGAGCCAGGACTCCTAGGTTCTCTCCCCTGCTCAGGGAGGGCAGTGGGGTCTAGTGGTTAGAGCAGGGGAGGGGCTGGGAGCCAGGACTCCTGGGTTCTCTCCCTGGCTCTGGGAGGGCAGTGGGTCTAGTGGGTTAGAGCAGGGGAGGGGCTGGGAGCCAGGACTCCTGGGTTCTCTCCCCGGCTCTGGGAGGGCAGTGGGTCTAGTGGGTTAGACCGGGGGTGGGCTAGGAGCCAGGACTCCTGGGTTCTCTGGGTGTGACACAAGTGGCCACATGCCACACTCAAGATGGCGACCAGGGCCCACACCTGAGGGTGTGTGGACTGGTGCCACTCCCGAGACGGCGACGACAGCTGCTGGCGTCAGGGCGGCCAGTCCCCCGCTGGGGGCCGGGTCGGACCGAGCCCTGAACCCCCGCGAGCTCACACTTGCCCTAGGTCGGGGCCTGAATGTGCTCTTGCCACTCCCAAGATGGCGTCTTCGTCCTGTTCCCTTCCCAACATGGCCGCTTAGCCAGGAACGCTGCCACTTCCAAGATGGCGGCCATGGTCGAATTGTTGGCCTGTCCCAACATGGCTCAGTCTGAAGGCCACTCTCAAGATGGCCAATGTGTCCTGCTGCGTCAGGCCTGCCACTCCGACGATGGCCGCCGCTCCCTGGCCCGTGAGCGGTGTCACACTCAAGATGGCTGATGGGCCCAGCCGTTTCCCCGGACAACATGGCTTCCGCACCCAGCCAGGCCACTCCCAAGATGGCCGCGTCGCCCGGCCGTGGCCTGGGCCGCTCCCAAGATGGCGCCGGGGCCCCTCCCCGTGTTTTGAATAAACTTTATTGGGAGGCCGGAGCCGGAGCAGGATCCTGGGGCCTGGCCAGGCCGAGGGGGACCGGACCGGGCCTGGAGAGACCCCCCGCGGGGCCTGGGCGCGGGAGGCGGGGAGACCCCCGGGCTGCAGGAGGGAGGCCCCCCCGCTCTAGGCCACAGGGAGGGGCTGTGGGGTGACCTCGGGGGGTGCAGGGGGCGGGGAGACCCCCCCCGGGCTCAGGCTCGCTTGGGGGTCAGTGGCCGCAGGGCAGGGCACCCCGAGGGGGCACGTGCTCTTTTGGGGTGCCGCGGGGACCCCACTTGACGCCTAGGGTTTTTTGGGGGGTCGGGACTGATTTGGGGGGACCCCGGGGGTGTCCGCCCCCCTGGGCTGGGCTCTGGCAGGGGCGCGGGGCCCCCCACGTCCCCTGCCCCCCGGCTGGTCCTGAGGGGGCGTCAGTCCTTTGTGGGGGGCAGCCATGGCCTCGGTGCCCGTCTACTGCCTCTGCCGCCTGCCCTACGACGTGACCCGCTTCATGATCGAGTGCGACACCTGCCAGGACTGGTTCCACGGCAGGTGGGGCGGGGGCCGGGCCGGGCTGGGGGGCTGGCTCGGGGGCGGGGGCCTGTCCCCTCTGCGGGGTGCCGGCTCCGGGCCGGGCCGGGGGGCAGGGTGGCTCGGGGGTGGCATGTCCCCTCTGGGGGGCTGGGCCGGGGGGCAGGCTGGCTCGGGGGGGCCTGTCCCTTCTGGGGGGCCGGCTCCGGGCCGGGCCGGGGGGCAGGCTGGCTCGGGGGGGTGGGGCGGGGGGCCTGTCCCCTCTGGGGGGCCGGTCTGGGTCGGGGGCTGAGCGGTGGGCAGCGGGTAAGCGACTCTCTGTCTCCCCAGCTGCGTCGGGGTGGAAGAGGACGCGGCCGCCGACATCGACCTGTATCACTGCCCCAACTGCCAGCTGGCGCATGGCCCCTCCGTCAGTGAGTAGCCCGAACCCGCCCGCCGTGGGCCGGGGCAGCCGGGCAAGGGGCTGGGACAGGCTTCGGCCCCTAGGCTGGGGGTGGCTGCCTCGGGGGTGGGGGGATCTTCTCCCTCCCCTGGTTGATCTCCCTTGACGGGGTCTCCTGCAGTGAAGCGGCGCCGTGGGCCCCCGAAGCAGCAGGACGCGGGGCTGAGAGAGGCGGGTGCCGCGGTGCGGACGGGCAGTGCCCAGTTCATAAGGGAGCTTCGGGCCCGGACGTTCCCCAGGTGAGAGGGATGGTGGAGGGCACCGTGGGGCTGGCAGTCAGGGCCGGGCGCTGGGAGGTGCCGGAGGGCTGGGCAGGGGGGCCTGTCCCCTGGCAGGGCTGGGCGGTGTCATGGGGCTGGGTAGGGGGTGCTCACCCCTGGTAGGGCTGGGTGCTGGGGAGGCTGGGTAGGGGGCACTCACCCCTGGCAGTCAGAGCTGGACACTTGGAGATTTCTCAAGCTGTCAGCGCCTGTCTCCAGGACCTTGGTTTAATTCTAGGCCACCGTCCCTAAATCTCACGTCAGCACCAGGCGAGCCATCCCTACGCAGTGTTATGTGTGGCTGTTCCCAGCCGCCCCGCCCCAGAGGTGCCTGCATCTCAACAACGGGCAAGTCATCCCTGTCCGATGTTCTATGCAGCTGTTCCCAGTTGCTCCGCCCCAGAGGCGGCTGCATCTCAGTGCCGGGGGAGTCATCCCCATGCAGTGCTATGTACGGCTGTTCCCAGCCGCTGCGCCCCAGAGGTGGCTGCACCTTGCTGACTCTCCCTCCCGCCCGGCAGCGCGGACGAGGTGATCCTGAAGCCCAGTGGGGCGCAGCTGACGGTCGAGTTCCTGGAAGAGAACAGCTTCAGTGTCCCCATCCTGGTGCTGAAGAAGGACGGGCTGGGCATGACGCTGCCCCCCCCGTCCTTCACCGTGCGGGACATTGAGCACTACGTGGGTAAGGCCGGGCCAAGGGGCTGCCAGTGCTGGGAACAGCCCTGGGTGTGCGTGTGGGGCAGGGGGTGGTAAGGGTCCATAGCTGGCGTTTCAGGGGGGCCATGGCTGGGTGTGGGGAGTCAGGGGGCTGTGGCGGGGGCCCATAGCTGGCTTGGAGGCAGTGGGGGTCCAGGGGGCCGTGGCTGGCTGGAGGTTCAGGGGGCTGTGTCGGGGGCCCATAGCTGGCTTGGGGGCCGTGGGGGGGCCCATAGCTGGCATGGGGGCCGGTCGCTCTCACCCTGCGCCCCCCAGGGCCCGACAAAGAGATCGACGTGATCGACGTGAGCCGCCAGGCCGACTGCCGCATGCACCTGGGCGACTTCGTCGGCTGTTTCTGTGCCGCCCGGCGGGACAAGGTGCTGAACGTCATCAGCCTGGAGTTCTCCGAGAGCCGGTCAGTGGGGGCTGGGGCGGGGGGGGCTGGAGGGGAAGGGGGGCTGGGGCAGGGGGAAGCGTATTACCTGTATTGTCTCCCGGACGCCGGGATCCCGCGGGCGGGCAGCCGGGCCGGCCCCCCCTCCCGGACGCCGGGATCCCGCGGGCGGGCAGCCGGGCCGGCCCCCCCTCCCGGACGCCGGGGTCCCGCGGGCTGACGGCTCTGCCCCCCAGGCTGTCCAACCTGGTGGAGACCCCGAAGATCGTGCGGAAGCTGTCGTGGGTGGAGAACCTGTGGCCGGGCGAGTCGGTGTTCGAGCGGCCGAGCGTGCAGAAGTACTGTCTGATGGGCATGCAGGGCAGCTACACAGACTTCCACATCGACTTCGGGGGCACCTCCGTCTGGTACCACGTGCTGTGGGTACGGGCCGGGCGGGACCAGGCGGGGGGGCGGTGGGGGGTGGGCGCAGGGACCCCCCACTCACTGTCCGTCCCCCCCCTCCCCGAAGGGCGAGAAGATTTTCTACCTGGTGCGGCCCAGCCCAGCCAACCTGGCCCGGTTCGAGGCCTGGAGCAGCTCGTCCAACCAGAGCGAGACGTTCTTCGGGGACCAGGCCGAACGCTGCTACCGATGCCCCCTGCGCCAGGGCCAGACGCTCTTCATCCCCACGGGTACCCCCTGCCCCCCGCGGGTACCCCATCCCCACCGCTCCCGGTGCTCCCTGCGCCAGGGCCAGACGCTCTTCATCCCCGCGGGTACCCCTCTTCCTCCCCCTCGTGGGTACCCCCAGTCCCATTCATCCCCACGGGTTCCCGCCACCCCCTCCTGCTCCCATACCGTCGGTCCCCGATCCCCCATTGCCCCTCTCCAGGGCCGGGTTCCCCCGGAGTCTGACCCCGCTCTGTCCCCAGGCTGGATCCATGCCGTGCTGACCCCCGTCGACTGCCTGGCCTTCGGGGGCAACTTCCTGCATAGCCTCAACATCGAGATGCAGCTCAAGTGAGTGTCGGGGGCGCCGGAGACTCCCAGCCCCGCCCCAGGGACCTGGACCCTGCCGGGAGTGGGGCTTGGTGCAAAGCACTCTGGGAAATAGCCCACAAACGGGGTGGGCGTCCCCAGGCTGTGTTATGTGTGGCTGTTCCCCAGCTGCTCCGCCCCAGAGGTGGCTGCATCTCCGCGCGGGGTGAGCCGTCCCCATGCGGCTGTTCCAGAGGTGTCCCAGCCCAACCTGGCCTGGTTGTCTCCTCCCGCAGGGCCTACGAGATCGAGAAGCGGCTGAGCACGGCCGATCTCTTCAGGTTTCCCAACTTTGAAACCATTTGCTGGTACGTCGGCAAACACCTGCTAGACATCTTCCGAGGTGAGCGGGGCCAGGGGGCATCTGAGGTCAGAGGGGCCGGGGGGGCCCGACCCATCCCCTGAGTCTTACCTGTGCCTCTCGCCCCCCCAGGCCTGCGGGAGAACCGCCGACACCCGGCCGCCTACCTGGTCCACGGAGCGAAAGCTCTGAACACGGCGTTCCGCGCCTGGACCCGCAAAGAGGCAAGTGGGTCTGATCAGGGGGGGCCGGGAGCAATCCCCGGCTGGGCGGAGCTGGAGAGAGGCGAACGCTGTGTTACAAGGAGCTGTCGTGCCCCACCCCAGCGTCAGCCGCATCTCAGGGCTCTCGGGGGGACGTTGGACTTACAGAGGCACCTGCTCTGGGCTGTGTCTGTTCAACAGCTGTCACTGTGTTAGCTCGACGCTCAGCCCCCCCAGGTCCCCCCCATCCACCCCCCCGCAGCGCACGCCCTCCCAGGGACCCCTTCGTCCGACGGGACTCCTGGCCTCCCAAACCTGACCAGGCCCGAGCGCCCCTAGTAACACCCCCCCACCCCACCCTCAGGTGCTGGAGGAGCACGAAGACGAAATCCCCGGCTCCGTGCGTCCTGCACAGCTCATCAAAGACCTGGCCAAGGAAATCCGTCTGGTCGAGGTGAGGGGCAGTCCTGGAGCGAGGGGGCCCCGTGGGGCAAGGGCCACTGGGCAGGGGGCGGTCTCCCCTGGCACTTGGGGCTGGGCACTGGGGGGCAGGGGCTCTCCCCTGACAAGTGGGACTGGGTGCTGTGGGGCGGGGGCCAGGCACCGGGTCTCCCCTGGTAGGTGGGACTCGGTGCTGTGGGGTGGGGGCCAGGCAGGGCTGAGAGCTGTGGGGCAGGTGGTGGGGGGGAAGGAGGGAGGTCTCCCCTGGCAAGTGGGACTGGGCACTGTGAGGCAGGTGGTGGGGGGGCGGGAAGGGGGTCTCCCTGGTAGGTGAGGGGGCACTGGGGGGGGCAAGCAGGGCTGGGCACTGGTGGGCAGGCGGGGGGTCTCTCCCAGTAGGCAGGGCCGGGGTGGGGGGATTGAAGCCCTCCCAGGATATCTTTCAGCAGAACATCGGGAAGACGGGCAGCCCCTTCGGGGTGCAGCGGGGCCCTCCCCCTGGTGCCAGGAGGGGGGACCAAAGCCCCCAGGAGCCGGGCCGGAGGGGAGGGTGGAAGGGGCGCGAGGGCCCAGCTGCCGGCGCCCCCACGAGGCTGGACTTGGAGCTGCTGGACACGCGCACGGAGCCGCCGCTGTTGGAAAGCGCCGAGAGCCCCCACGAGGAGGAGGTGATGGCAGGGGCTGGGCGGGGGGCTGGGGGGCACCGTGGGGCCGGGGGGCTGGGGGCGCCGTGGGGCAGAGGGGCTGGGCAGAGGCCTCGATCTCCTCGCCGGGCAAGCCGTCTCTGGGCAGCGTGGTGTGCGGCTGTTCCTAGCGGCCCCACCCTAGAGGGGGCTGCGTCCCCCTCAGCCCGGCCCCCCGTTGCTGAGCCCCTCTCCCCTCCCTTGGCAGTTTGACGTTCCCAGCTCCAGCCTGGAGGAGACGGACGCGGATTCGGAGGTGGCCGAAGGGGAGCTCACCTTGGTGCTGGCCGACGGGCGGCCCGTGCAGTGAGTGGGGCTGGGTGGATGTCGGGGGCGGGCGGAGAGTTGGGGTTGGGTAGGGGGTGCTGCAGGGTGGGAAATGGGGCAGGAGGCGCTGGGGAGTGGGGCGGGGGCTGACAGGGGTGCTGCAGTTCGGGGGGCTGGCAGCGGGCGCTGGGGAGCGGGGCGGGGGCTGGCAGGGGGTTGGTTCGGGGGCTGGGAGAGCGGGGCGGGGGCTGGCAGGGGTGGTTGGGGGTGAGCAGCGCTGGGAGCGGGGCGGGGGCTGGCAGGGGTTGGGTTCGGGGGCTGGGAGCGGAGGGGGCGGGGGCTGGCAGGGGTGTAGTTCGGGGTGCGGGGCTGGGGAGCGGGGCGGGGGCTGGCAGGGGTGCGCGGTTCGGGGGCTGGCAGCTGGGACGGAGCGGGGCGGGGGCTGGCAGGGGGTGGTTCGGGGGCTGGGAGCGGGGCGGGGGCTGGCAGGGGGTTGGGGGCTGGGAGCGGGGCGGGGGCTGGCAGGGGTGGTTCGGGGGTGAGCGGGCTGGGGAGGGGGCGGGGGTGGCAGGGGGTGTGAGTTGGGGTGAGCTGGGGAGGGGGCGGGGGCTGGCAGGGGGTGCTGCGTTCGGGGCTGGCAGCTGGGACGAGGGAGCGGGCGGGGCTGGCAGGGTGGTTGGGGGTGGAGGGTGGGGAGCGGGGCGGGGGTGCAGGGGTGGTTGGGGGAGGGCTGGGGAGGGGGGGGTAGGGGTTGGTTGGGGTATGGGAGGAGGGGGGTGAGGGTGGTTGGGGTGGGGGGTGAGGGGGTGTTGGGGGTGGCAGGGGTGTTGGGGGTGGGACGGGGCTGGCGGGGGTGCTGCGTTCGGGGGCTGGCAGCTGGGAGCGGACGGGCGGGGGCTGGCGGGGGTTCGGGGGCTGCAGCGGGGCGGGGGCTGGCAGGGGGTGCTGCGGTTCGGGGCTGGCAGCTGGAGCGGAGCGGGCGGGGCTGGCAGGGGGTTCGGGGCTGGCAGCGGGGCGGGGGCTGGCAGGGGGTGCTGCGTTCGGGGCTGGCAGCTGGGAGCGGAGCGGGGCGGGGGCTGGCAGGGTGGTTCGGGGGCTGGGAGCGGCGGGGGTGGAGGGGTGTGGTTCGGGGGTGAGCTGGGAGGAGGGGCTGGGGGGGGTTCGGGGGCTGGGAGCGGAGGGGGCGGGGGCTGGCAGGGGTGGTTCGGGGGCTGGCAGCGGGCGCTGGGGAGCGGGGCGGGGGGCTGGCAGGGGGTGCTGCGGTTCGGGGGGCTGGCAGCTGGGAGCGGAGCGGGGCGGGGGCTGGCAGGGGGTGGGTTCGGGGCTGGCAGCGGCGCTGGGGAGCGGGGCGGGGGCTGGCAGGGGGTGCTGCGTTCGGGGGCTGGCAGCTGGGAGCGGAGCGGGGCGGGGGCTGCAGGGGGTTCGGGGGCTGGGAGCGGGCGGGGGTGGAGGTGGTTGGGGGCTGAGGGAGCGGGGCGGGGGCTGGCAGGGGTGGTTGGGGGCTGGGAGCGGGGCGGGGGCTGGCAGGGGGTGGTTCGGGGGCTGGGAGCGGAGCGGGGCGGGGGCTGGCAGGGGGGTTCGGGGGGCTGGGAGCGGAGCGGGGCGGGGGCTGGCAGGGGGTGGTTCGGGGGCTGGGAGCGGAGCGGGGCGGGGGGCTGGGAGGGGGGTTCGGGGGCTGGGAGCGGGGCGGGGGCTGGGGGGGGTTGGGGGCTGCAGCGGGTGTGCGGTTGGGGGGCTGGCAGGGGGTGTGCAGGGCAGGCAGCGGGGCAGGGGCGGTAGGGGAGCTCTGGGAGGGGTGGAGGGGGTGGTTTGGGGGCTGGGAGGGGGCGGGGGCTGGAGGGGGGTGGGGGTGGGAGGGGGCGGGGGCTGGCAGGGGGTGGTTGGGGGCTGGGAGCGGGGGGGCTGGCAGGGGGGTTGGGGGTGGGAGGGGGCGGGGCTGGCAGGGGGTGGTTGGGGGTGGGAGCGGGGCGGGGGCTGGCAGGGGTGCTGCGTTGGGGGTGGAGCTGGGAGCGAGGGGGGGGGGTGGCAGGGGGGGTTGGGGGCTGGGAGCGGAGGGGCGGGGGCTCGGGGGTTGGGGCTGGGAGGGGGCGGGGGCTGGCAGGGGGTGTGGGTTGGGGGTGGCAGCTGGGAGGGAGCGGGGCGGGGGCTGGCAGGGGGGGTTCGGGGGCTGGGGCGGAGCGGGGCGGGGGCTGGCAGGGGGGGTTCGGGGGCTGGGAGGGGGGCGGGGGCTGGCAGGGGGTTGGGGGTGGCGGGGCGGGGGCTGGCAGGGGGTGCTGCGGTTCGGGGTGGATGGGAGGAGGGGCGGGGGCTGGCGGGGGGGGGGGGCTGGGAGGAGCGGGGCGGGGCTGGCAGGGGGTTCGGGGGCTGGGAGCGGGGCGGGGGCTGGCAGGGGGTGTGCGGTTCGGGGGCTGGGAGCTGGGAGCGGAGCGGGGCGGGGGCTGGCAGGGGGGTTCGGGGGCTGGGAGGGGGGGGGTGGAGGGGGTGGTTGGGGCTGGGAGGGGGGGGGTGGGGGGGTTGGGGGTGGGAGGGGGGGGCTGGGGTGGTTGGGGGTGGGAGGGGGGGGGTGGAGGGTGTGGTTGGGGTGAGGGGTGGTTGGGGTGGGAGGGGGGGGGGTGAGGGGGTGTGGTGGGGTGGACTGGGAGGAGCGGGGCGGGGGCTGGCAGGGGGTTCGGGGGCTGGGACGAGGCGGGGGCTGGCAGGGGGGTTGGGGGTGGGACGGGGGGGGGCTGGGGGGGTTGCGTTCGGGTGGCAGGGTGCTCTTCGGGGGCTGGACTGGGAGCGGAGGGGCGGGGCTGGCAGGGGGGTTGGGGTGAGGGGGGTCGGGGGGTTGGGGGTAGCGGGCGGGGTGGGGGGTGTCAGTTCGGGGGCTGCAGGGTGCTGCGGTTCGGGGCTGCACTGGGAGCAGCGGGCGGGGCTGGCAGGGGGTTCGGGGGCTGGGAGCGGGGCGGGGCTAGGGGTGGTTGGGGGCTGGGAGCGAGCGGGGGGGTGCAGGGGTTGGGGCTGGGGGGGCGGGGGCTGCGGGGGGGTTCGGGCTGGGACGGGGCGGGGGCTGGCAGGGGGGTTCGGGGGCTGGGAGCGGGGCGGGGGGCTGGCAGGGGGTGCTGCGGTTCGGGGGGGCTGGCAGGGGGTGCTGCGGTTCGGGGGGCTGGCAGGGGGTGCTGCAGGGCAGGCAGCGGGGCAGGGGCCGGTAGGGGAGCTCTGGGAGGGGCTGTGGGGAGCAGGGTGGGGGGCCGGCTGGGGTCTCTGACCTGCTCTCCCCCCGGCAGGACGAAGCGGGCCAGGGCCTCAGGGCGCCAGCGGCCCCGCCCCTCCCGCTCCCCGTCGCCCCCCAGCTCGCCGGGCGCCCCAGGGCTGGACCTGGACTCAGAGGAGGATTTGCAGATCGACGAGGCGCCGCCCCACAAGGACCGGCGGGGCCCAGCGGCCCCCAGGAGACTGGCCAGTAGGTCACTGCCCTCCCCGCCCCACAGCCCCCCCCCCCGGCTCGGCAGCCCCCCCGGGCCGTTCGGTGAGTGGCTCTGCCGTTCTCTTTCCCAGAATTCCCCAGGAAGCTGCCAAGGGCCAAACCCTGTTCTGACCCCAACCGCGTGCGGGAGCCTGGGGAGGTCGAGTTCGACATCGAGGTAAAGGGGTGATGAGCAGGGGGGCTGGGAGGCCGGGAGCGGGGGGCTGTGGAGCAGGGGGCTGCACTTTGCGGGGCGCCCCACGTCTCTCTGCTCCCCCCCAGGAGGATTACACCACGGAGGAGGAGGGCGGCTCAGGGGCTGAGGGGCCGGGGGGCAGCGCGGCCGGGATCCTCGACCTGCTGAAGGCCAGTCGCCAGGTGGGGGGGCCCCACTACGACGAGCTGAGGTGAGACGCGCTGGGGGCTGAGTGGGGGGAGGGGAGGGCACTGGGTGTCGCTGGGGGGGGAGGGGAGGGCACTGGGTGTCACTGGGGGGACGCTGTGCCAAGGGGAGGGGGGTGTCACTTGGGGGGACGCTGTGCCAAGGGGAGGGGAGGGTGCTGGGCGTCACCGGGGGGGTGCTGTGCCAGGGGGAGGGGGATCCCACCCCCACTAACCCTCCCCCCCCCCCCCCCCAGCGACGCGCCGGCCTCGCCCAGCACGCAGGAGGCGATCCAGGGCATGCTCAGCATGGCCAACCTGCAGGCCGCCGGCTCCTCGCCCAGCCGCCCGGCCTGGTGGGTCCCAGGCCACGAGCGGGGCTGGGCGGGCGGGTCGGGCAGCAAGCGCCCCCGCAGGAGACCCCCGAAGCGGGCGGCCGCCCACAGCACGGACAGCGAGGGCGAGACGGGCAGCCTGGACGAGCAGGAGAGCCTGGGCACCTGCTTCAAGGACGCCGAGTTTAGTGAGTGCCAGGCCAGGGGGCAGGAATGGGGCAGGGGCCTCTCCCCTCCCCAGGGCCGGATGGGGCGCCGGCTCCCACCCGACCACAGGGCAGGGACTGGTGGGCTCAGGGGGGCGGGAATGGGGCAGGGGCCTGTCCCCTCTGGGGGGCGCCGGCTCTCATCCGGCCCTGGGGAGGGGGCTGGCTGGGTCAGGGGTATGGGGGCCCCCCAACTTACCCACTGCCTCCCCTGCCCCACAGTTTACCCCTCTCTTGAGTCGGACGAGGACGATCCAGCCTTGAAATCGCTACCAAAGAAGAAGAAATGTACGGATGACGCCCCCTGGAGCCCGAAAGGTAATGGAACCCAGGCGTCCGGGCTGTGACTCCCCTCACCTGGCGGTTAGAGCAGGGGCTGGGAGCCAGGACGCCTGGGTTCTCTCCCTAGCTCTGGGAGGGGAGTGGGGGCTGGCGGTTATAGCAGGGGCCTGGGAGCCAGGACACCTGGGTTCTCTCCCCAGCTCTGGGTGGGGAGCAGGGGGGCCTGGGTCCTGCCTGGTTACCCGCGGGCACGAGACGCCCCCGGGCCGAGAACTCTGCAGTACCTTGTCTGCTCCCCCCAGCCCGGGTGACCCCGACGCTGCCCCGCCAGGACCGGCCTGTGCGGGAGGGGACCCGAGTGGCGTCTGTCGAGACGGGGCTGGCGGCTGCCGCGGCCAAGCTGGCCCAGCAGGTAATGGCCTCGCGGGGCCGGGGCTGGGCAGCGGGCACGCTCTGTGGGCAGACGGAGGGGGAGGTAGGCGGCACTGTGCTGGGGAGGACAGGCGGGGGACTGCTGGGGGTCGCTGTGGCGTGGGGGGCAGGCGGAGGGCACTGTGTCATGGGGAACAGGTGGTGGGGAGCACCATGCCGTGGGGGGCAGGTGGGGGAGGGTGCTGGGGGTCGCTGTGGCGTGGGGGGCAGGCGGAGGGCACTGTGTCATGGGGAACAGGTGGTGGGTAGGTGGGGGAGGGTGCTGGGGGTTGCTGTGCTGTGGGGGGCAGGCAGGGGGCGGTTCCCCGTCCCCCTCCCCACCCCGCGCTCCGTCCCCCAGGAACACCAGCGGCTGCAGCGGAGGAAGAGTCAGGCCAAGAGAAGGGCCCCGTCCCCCAAGGAGCCTGACCCGGAGCCGGAGCCGGAGCCGGAGCCCGACCCCGAGCCGGAGCCGGAGCCGGAGCCAGAAGCAGAGCCGGAAGCAGAGCCAGAGCCGGAGGCGCCCGCTGGGCCGGACGGTGCCCCCAGGGCAGCTCCGGCGCCCCCCACCCCTGAGCCCAAGGCGGAGCCTTTTGCCGGCAGCCTGGCTGACCACGAGTACACGGCCCGGCCCAGCGTCTTCGGCATGGCCCAGCTCAGCCGCGGCACCACCCCCATGGCCCCTGGCGTCTTCCTGTCCCAGCGCCGCCCCTCCGCCGGCGCCCCCGGCACCCCGCCCGCTCAGGGTAAGCCGTGGGGAGCGCTGGGGGCCAGGACGCCTGGGCTCTCTCCCCAGCTCTGGGAGGGGAGTGGGGTTTGGGGGCTGGGGGAGCCAGGACACCTGGGTTCCATGGTGGGGCTGTTGGTATCTCGTGTGGGTGGGGGAGGGATCCGTCCAGCTCCCCTAACCCTCCGCTCTGCCCCCCAGGAAAGCGCCCCAAGAAGGGGCTGGCCACGGCTAAGCAACGGCTCGGCCGCATCCTCAAGATCCATCGCAACGGGAAGCTGCTTCTCTGAGCCCCATGGAGCTGGGGGGGGGGCAGCATGGATCACCGCTTCCCCCCCACCCCCGGACTCCACCCCCCCATGGACCTGCACAGGGGAGGGGCTTCCCTGGTGCCTCCAACGATTGGCTGCTGTGTCCTGGTAGCCCCACCCCCAGCCCCCAAACGCTCCCTCCCCCTTTGGGTCTGATTGGTCTCTTCTGCCCTGGTGGGGGGGCTCTTGGGAACCTGGCTTGAGTGCCCCCCCACCCTCCTTTGGAAGGTATCCAGACTTCACCCCATTCCCTGCCCCAATTTTTGGGGTCCCCCGGCCTCCCTTCCCCACAGCAGGACAGGCCCAGGGAGGGAGGAGGCTGGGGGACCCTGAGCCCACACAGCCTCTCCCCAGCACTGGGGGAATGACTCCCCCCATTGCCGCCATCAGGAGTGCAGCTGGCCCATGGGGGTAGCGGGAGGGGGACTGTGGTAGAAGGTCCCTGTTCTGCCCCCCACACCAGGGGTCCGGGGCTCCCCAGGACTGTGGGGGTTCGGGCCCAGCCGGGGCTTGCGCCAGACATTTTATATCCAGGGTTAGAATAAAAATCTGTTAGTTCCGCTCATCTCTGGGAGACCCCCGTCTCTTAACTGCGGCCCCCCCGTCATTCGGCCCCCCTGTGCTGAACAGGCCCCCCCTCCTTCCTGCAGCCCCCCCGCCACATGGACCCCCAGCGTGGGGCGACATCACGTCAGGTGCTGCCAAGACACCCCTCGACTGAGATTGGAGCCCCCATCCTGCCAGGCGCTGCACAGACCCCGACCAACAACAGAGCCTCCCAGGCCAGCCCCCCCACTCTACAGAGGGGCTCTGTGCTCCCCACGCCAGCCCCCCTCAACACACAGGCTGTGTGTCTTGCATACCAGCCCCCCCCCACTCCCCTCAGGCACTCTGTGCCCCCCCCTTCCTCCCAGGGGTTGTACCCCCCCCCCACGAGCCCCTGCCTCCCCACAGGGCCTCTCTATCCCCCCTACCAGCCCCCTTCCCCCAGGGGCTCTGTGCACCCCACAGCATCTCCCCAGGGGGCTCTGTGCCCCCCCACCAGCCCCTCCTCCCCCCAGGGCCTCTCTGTCCCCCATACCAGCCCCCTCCCCCCGGGGGCTCTGTGCCCCCTCACCAGCTCCCCCTCCCCCCAGGGCCTCTCTATCCCTCATACCATCCCCCCTCCCCCTAGGAGCTCTGTGCACCCCCCAGCATCTTCCCCACTCTCTCCAGGGGGCTCTGTGCCCCCCACCAGCCCCTCCTCCCCCCAGGGCCTCTCTATCCCCCATACCATCCCCCCTCCCCCTAGGAGCTCTGTGCACCCCCCAGCATCTTCCCCACTCTCCCCAGGGGGCTCTGTGCCCCCCACCAGCCCCTCCTCCCCCCAGGGCCTCTCTATCCCCCATACCATCCCCCCTCCCCCTAGGGGCTCTGTGCACCCCACAGCATCTCCCCCACCTCCCCAGTCTTCCCCATATCACCCCCCCACTCTCCCCAGAGGTTTCCCCCCCACCACCCCCCTCCCCCCAGGCCTCTCTATCCCTCATACCATCCCCCTCCCCCCAGGAGCTCTTCACCCCCCACATCTTCCCCCTCTCCAGGGGCTCTCCCCCCCACCAGCCCCTCCTCCCCCAGGGCCTCTCTATCCCCCATACCATCCCCCTCCCCCTAGGAGCTCTGCACCCCCCCATCTTCCCCACTCTCCCCAGGGGGCCTTGCCCCCTACCAGCCCCCTCCTCCCCCCAGGCCTCTCTATCCCCCATACCATCCCCCTCCCCCTAGGGGCTCTGTGCACCCCCCAGCATCTTCCCCACTCTCTCCAGGGGCTCTGTCCCCCTACCACCCCCTCCCTCCCTCCACCTCTCTATCCCCCATACCATCCCCCCTCCCCCTAGGGCTCTGTCACCCCCACATCTTCCCCACTCTCTCCAGGGGGCTCTGTGCCCCCTACCAGCCCCTCCTCCCCCCAGGGCCTCTCTATCCCCCATACCATCCCCCCTCCCCCCAGGGGCTCTGTGCCCCCCATACCAGCCCCCTCCCCCCAGGGGCTCTGCCCCGCCATTAGCCTGGGGGGCCATGTGACATGACCGCACGGGGGAGGGACGAGGCTCGCTCAGGCCCCGCCCTCGCGTGTCCGCCTGGAGCCGGCTCAATAAAGTTACATTTGTCTCAAGAATGTCTGGGATTCGGCCTTAGCAGCGAGGTCTCGCGAGACTCGGGATCTAAGGCGGAAGATCGTTGTCAGAGATCTCGCGAGAGTTGAGAGTGGGCGAGACAGCTTCCTGAGATCTCGCGTGATTAGAAATGTCCTTGGAGGAAGCGCGATAGCGTCGCTGGTCGGAGCTCTCGCGTGGTTTCCTCTCATCGCGATACTTCACGTCGGCTCTTGTCTAGCCACCCAGGCGCAGCCGGCCGTTCTCGCCCCCTGTCGCCTTGGAGACGGTGAGTTCTCGCGCGATTTCCCCTCAGGGCTCCCATCGCCTTCGAGCTCCTGGGACGGCGGGGGGGGGGCGTTCATTCCCCCCCCCGACTTCTCGCGAGTTTTCTCGTTTTCTTACAGACTGGGGAGTGAGTTCTCGCGAGGATCCGTCTCCAGTTATCGCGCGATTTTCTTACTGGGCCGAAGGTAGTTTAGTCTCATGGGGAGGGCGGGACCAAAGCGAGATCTGCGGCCTCAAGTCTCGTGAGATCTCGCCTCCACTTTATTCCGGGCCGTAAGCGGTTAAAGTGATGAGTCTCACGACCCCTGCGAGATTTTCACCATCACGTCTCGCGGGATTTTATACTGAGCAGGCGGCCTCGCGGTGAATTCTGCTCCCCGAACTATCGCGAGATTTCGCTCGTCCCTTCTCGCTCCGAGGATCGCTACCCCGGCATTGAATGCGTACGGGAACCGTCAAGGTCTCGCGAGATCTCGGTCCTCCATTCTTGCGGGAAAGCTCTGCGGCGAAGTCTCACGTGAACTGTCGCCTGAACTCTCGCGAGCTCTGTCCCGCTCTGCTCCAGCGCGGTGAAGTCACTCCCGCCAAGTCTCGCGGGATCTGCCCCACTCCGTTCTCGCGGGAGAGAGTGGTCGGAGCTTCTCTCGCGGGATCTCTCTCCCGAAGTCTCGCGGGATCCCGTCCCTGGGCGGTAGGCAGGGAGTTCTCGCGGGATCTGCCTGCTGGGCTGAGGCTCGGGTCTGCTATTAAGATGGCGGCGGCGGGAGGCGGCTGGGCCTGGCACTGACCCCGCGCCCGGAGCAGGTACCGCCGGGGCCGGGGAGGGACCCGCCTGCGCTGGGCCCTACTCCTCGTGGGGGGCGTCCCTCCGCCGTCCCCCCTCATATCTCCCCCCGGCCGTGGGTCCTGACCCCCCGCCCCCCATATATCCCGCCCCCCGGCCGTGGGTCCTCCCCCCCATATATTCCTCCCCCTCGCCCGGCCGTGGGTCCTGCCCCCCATATATCACCCCCCTCGCCCGGCCGTGGGTCCTGCCCCCCATATGCCCCCCCCGGCCCGGCCGTGGGTCCTGCCCCCCATATATCATCCCCCCCGGCCCGGCCGTGGGTCCTGCCCCCATTCCCCCTGCCGCCCCCCCATATATCCCCCCGGCTGTGGATCCTGCCACCCCCCCATATATTCCCCCCCGGCCGTGGGTCCTGCCCCCCATATATTCCCCCCCGGCCGTGGGGGTCTGCCCCCCATCCGCCCCCGCCGCCTGCCCATATATCCCCCCCGGCCGTGGGTCCTGCCCCCCATCTCTCCCCGCTGCCCCCCCTCATATCCCCGTGGCCGGGGGTCGTGCCCCCCGCTGCCCTCCCTCATATCCCCCCTGCCACTCCACTAACCAGGGACCTGCCCCCCATAATATCACCCTTATTCCGCCATGGGTCCTACGTCGCCCCAGCCAGGGCCTATCCCCCCTGTCATGGTTCCTGCCCCTGTCATATCCCCCTACCTTGCTAGGCCGCCTCCCTGCCCCCCCCCCCCGGACCTGCCCCCCACAGGGACAGAGGGGAGACCTGACCCCTGCTGGGAGATGTGGAGCGCTGCCCCCACCGCTGCCACAGGAGAGAGGGGACTCTGCTTCCCATGGAGACCTGTGCCCTCAGACTGTGATCTGCCCCCCTCCATGAGAGAGGAGATTCTCTCCCATGCTCTGACAGAGACCTGCTTTTCCACTCCCCATAGAGCTCTCACCCCCAGCAAGCCCTGCCTCTCTTCTCCCCCCCCTTCCCATAGAGACCTGCCCCCACAGGGAAGAACCCATTTTCCTTTGAGAGATCATTCCCCCCACCAGCAAGCCTGCCCCTCTCTTACCACCCCCTGGACAGGGACCTTCCCCTCCTCCCCACAGAGACACCCCCCCCCAGCCTGATCTGCACCATTCTTTCATAGACCACTGCCCTTCTCCCATCCCCATTGGGCAGGGACCTCCCCCCCCCCCCCCCAGATCTGTGCAGGATGGGTTCCCCCTGCCCATGAGGGTCCATCTCGCACCATTCCGTGCCTGGCTTCCCCACTCCCCTGAAAACTGTCAGTCCCCCAAAGTCTGTCATTTCCGCTTCCTGGGCAGTGAACTTGCTACCTTCCACAGGGTCTTTGCCCTGGAACCCCTCCTCCCATGAGGACCCCTGTCTCCCTCCTTGCAGGGTATTTGCCCCAGTTCCCCTCAACTCCATAACAGAGCTTCCATACCCCATGAAACCTGGAAGGCTTTGAAGGGGCACGGATGACCCCCAAAGGCAGGGGATGATGGAGGGAGTGAAGAGCTCAAAGGGGGACCCCTGAAGCTAGTGTAGGGGGACGACACTAGCTGAGTCTTGCCCAAAGGGGGAGTTATTTTGGCGGGTGCCGCTGCGGTAGGGAGATGTGAAAGGGTGGGTCAGGGAGGTCTCCCTGATTTCTTTGGGTGTGTGGGGAAATGGTGCCCCGCCTCCAGGTTTGGGTGGGAAGCCCACCAGGAAGCTTTGTAATTGGGGAAATCCCTCCTCTCCCAGCTGGTAGAGGTGCTCTGGGGCTCCCCCCGTCCCAGGCCAAGCTGTAGAAATCTCTCCGGAGGAGGACCTGGAGCTGGCAGTTCTTCCCACCCTTGCATGTGGGGCGAAGCTGCAGAACCTCCCAATTCTGGGTCTAAATTGAAGTGGCGGCTCAGGGGGAGACTTTTCTCCATTTTCTCTCCTCCCGCCTGCCCCACACACCTTTTTGCCCTGAGCGGAGCCCCAGCTTTGCCTGGACCCACGCCTGGGCTCTGCTCTGGATCTAGCCATGCTAGGTGAGCAGGGAAGCCTAGCATGGGGGCGGGGATTGTTCTAGCACCGCAGGGCTGCCCATGCTCATCCTGTAGCTGCCAAAAGTTGGGTCTGCCGCGGCCAAGCCCTGATCAGCTTTGAGCCCAGCCGGCCTCTCCCTGCTGCTGGCTTTCAGCACGGTTTGGGGGTGACCAACTGCGTAGTGTGTGGTGTGCAGAGGTGGGAGACTCCCTGTAAATAACCGTAGAGTCTACGTTAAGGCAGGATACTTGTTGGGTGACTAGGGCTTGGCTGGCTCTTAATTGTTTTGTTTGCATGTATAACAGCACTCAGTGCTTTTCTCGGGGGGC